CTTATTAATTTTTTTTTAATTTGTTCTTAAATGGTATCTTTATTTAATATTTAAATTTAAATAAATTTTCTTATTGCTAATGCAAAGATAATTAAGTATGTAACATGAAACACGTGATGCATAACTTTTGCATGTTTTTGATGATGAATCAGATAACGTTTTGTGTATTACACAAATACAATAAATATGTAAATTTCATTGTTGTTTTTGCATCTTTGTACAATGTTAAAACTTTTTGAAAACAAAGTTATAAAAGAAAAAAAACGTAAAACCCCAGCTGAAAGAGCCTGACTGCAAGAAGGATATTCTACAAGGACAGTGGGCCAGGCCTTTAATATTAGTTCCTTCACGGCATCTCATATTAATAAAAAGTGGTTAAAAACTCACATACTTGAAGATTTAGCAAGGGTTGGTCACCCACTTGCAGTGGGTGAACCAACCCAAAGAAGAATCGTGAATCTAATTACCTCTCGCAGGTGTTCAAGTGCTATTGAAGTTTGTACCCACCTTAGACAACAAGAAGGTATTGAGATTTCAGCATCTACTATTCGTCGTATACTCAGAAACTACGGTTTAGTATCAGAGATTAAGAAAAAAAAATCTTACCTAAGTGAAAATCACCGAAAACATCGGTTAGAATTTGCAAAAAAATATGAAAATTAGTCTTACAAAGACTGGTCCAAGATAATTTAGTCTGACGAGTCAAAATTTAAGATTTTTGGGTCGGATGATAAGCAATACTACTGGAAGCATCCTGGTAAACCTTTAAACAAATTCTATATTAAACCTATGATTAAATTTGGAGATGAATCAGTTATGATCTGAGGATGCTTTACGTTCCATGGTGTTGGTGGTTATTGTAAGATCAATGGCAGGATGGATGCTAAACTATACTGTCAGATACTTTGTGAAGATTTTATGAATACGGTTAGAGATCACAGGTTTAATATTCGAAAGATCATATTTTAACAGGATAATAATCCCAAACATAAAGCTAAGATGACGATGTGCTGGTTTAGGAATAATCAGGTACAAGTATTGGATTGGCCTCCCCAATCTCCTGATCTTAACTCCATTAAACACTTGTGGGTTGAGATTGACTATCAGCTTAAAAACCTTCTTGAACAAATTACAAGCAAGGAAGATCTGTGGAGCAAGATCCAGGTGGTATGGCAAGAATTCGATACTGAAACCTGCACCAACCTGATCCAATCCATACCTGCATGAATTCATGATATTATTAAAGCCTGTGAAGAGTACACTAGGTAGTAGATGCCAAAAGGCATAAAAATAGAAAAAAAAAATTTTTTTTTATATATAAAAATTTTTTTTAGTTTTATTTTTATGTTGCATTAAATACATGCAAAAGTAATGCAGCACATCAATTAGAATAAAGCACATGTCTCTGAAAAATTTGGATAATTTATTTTTTTGAAAATTTTTATGAGTGAAAACTATAATATTTACGAACAAAACAAAAAAAAAAAGAAAGAAACATTCAGAATTGCGCAAAATAATGCTATCTAACTGTTTTTTTTTTCCCACTCCATTACTTTTGATCGCCACTGTATAAATGAATAAATAAATGTAGAATTTTTTGTAGAGAGGTATAAAAAAAAAAAATGCTGTTGAAGATCCAATACTAATCGTTTATAGTTCTATCGAATTAGCCTTACGTATTGAGCTTTATTCATTTAAAATTTTTTAAAATTTTTTTTAATTTTAATTAAATAACATTATAAAATTATCAATCATTGGTATACTGGTATATCTCTGTTTATATCTAACTATTAGCTAATGCAGGATAAAAAAGCCGCCCAAGTGTGCAATTACTTATGGAATGCAGTTACTAAGTGAAATCGTCTTCAGATTTTTTGTTTATAATAAATTAAGAAATACGTATTAATATTCATAGTGGTAAAAATATCGAATTCTTTGAAATACAACTTACCATATGAAATCTCAAATTCCTTTATTGAATTGGAATAATAATCTGACAAATTATACGAGAAAGGTATTTAATTTTGAGCTAATGTATAATTTAATATTTTGAATATTTACCTTCAATTTCCTCTATTTAATAAATAAAGTTTTCAATTAGAATTTTTTTTAAAGATTTATAATTTTTAATAAAAGTATTCAAATATTTACCTGCAGTAGCATTTCTTGGTTCAGGAAGTTTCTTGAAATTATAAATACTACTGGACTTTTTATTAATTAATGAAATGCGCATTGACGATTCAGAAGCAATTAACTTTCGTAATTCGCCGTTTTGAAGCCTATTATGTTTAGTTATAACATCACCTAATTCTTTTATAAATGCTTCAATGTCCGGACGATTATCTGGAGATGCATCCCAACATCTTTTCATTAAATTTACATATTCTATTGGTGTTCCTTTAATAATTTGAGGTCTTATTCCCATGACAATTGCTATAGCAAGGCTTAAATCATGACTTCTATCACTAAATGGTGGATTCCCGGATGAAATTTCCCACATAATCATAGCTAAACTATATATGTCTGCCTTATCAGTATATAACTGTCTTTTTAATACTTCTGGTGCGATATAGGGAAGATTACCCCAAATACCATCTAAAGGTTTATCAACCGGTCCACAAAATCCAAAATCGCTAATTTCCATGCAGAAAAGTCTGGATGTTGTAAGTAAAATGTTCCCAGAGTGTAAATCTCTATGCACCCGTTTTGCAGAATGAATCACCCTTAACTTCAAAGCTAATAAATATACTGCATCTATTGCCTCCTTCCAAGTAATTTCAGAATAATACTCTTTTAAATAAGTGTGTAAATCACACTCCATTCTACCTAAAACTAGAATATAATCTTGAGATATTGGATCTCGAGTTATTCCATAACACGTAACAAAGTTTTCTTCATGATGATCGATAGATAAATGAGATGTTACCTAATTAAATTAAATTAAATTACAAGAAAAATTAACGAATTGTTTTAATAAAATTTAAAAAATATTTAAATACCTCTTCAAACCATCTGCCATCACTTTTACTTGAATTTTCTAACTTTTTAAGAATTATATGGTGAGCTAATTCAAATACATTTCTTTCTAATATTTGTTTTTCTGCGTTCCATGTTCCAAATGATCCTTGGTTCCAATATCCTTTATATATAGAGGCACAACCACCTTTAGCAAAAAATTGAATTTTTTCAATATTTTCATATGGAATCCATTCAATAATTCTACTTGGACTTTTTGCTGCTAATTGACATGATTGAATAATTTGATCGATTTGATCATTTCCTGATGTCCAATCATTAAAATGTTGTTGCAAATAATTACGGATACAGTGTTCACAGTATTGACTAGCATATGTCATATTTTGACAAATTTCACATCTGCGTATTTTATCATTAATCTCATCCGGTTCATCAACTTTAATATATTCCTCATGTGGTTTAAATAATTTACTCATGTGAATCTTTTCATAAATTGAAAGAGACTTGTCTTTAAGAATAGTTTCTCTTATAAATTCACTTTGCTTTTCTCTTGTATTCAGCTCATGAATATCAGGAAGTTTATACAAAACATTTTTTGCAGCTTCTTGTAATTTCTTTAAATCAACATAACAACAAATAAACAATGAATTCTCAAACTCTTGAAATAAATTAATTATAAAAGAAATATCACATTCGTTAAGTGATTTTTCATTTAGAATATATTGTGTCACAGATTTAATTCCTTCTTGATAATTTAATATTAATTCATCTAAATAAATTGTAAATGCTTTATTCAATACCTCGCACATTTTGTCTTTGTTAATAGGATCAGATTTTATTCTATCTTCAGAAGTTCGAAGTTGATTGATAAGATAAGCCAACTCATTGGAATTGAGTGAATTATTATCATGAAATATTTGCATGAAAAACTCTAATACTTCCTCATTTGTTGTAACTGATTTTTCAAAAAATGAAGAGATCGCTTTATACCATATTTCTATAATTTTATATTTATTAATGAATTTACTTTCTATATATTCATCTACAGATTCTTTATATAATAAATTATTATTCTCAAGAATATGTGTCAGCAATTCTTCGAATTGTTGTTCTGTAAAAGATTTCTTTATGCAAGATTCAATAATAATATTTTTTTTTGTCTCATTAATTCTTGATTTATCAATTATGTGTTTAGAATTCTCAAGAAATTGGTCAAATAATTTATTAATCTCATCTTCGTTTAGTGCATCCCCTATTTGTTTATCATTCCATATCATGAGAGAATCACGCCATATCTTTTTTGTAAGAATTTGGCAAAAAGTACCATTTTCTTCCTCCATAATTAAAATTAATGATAATAATTGAATATTTATTGTATTTGAACATGAAAATTTCAAATCAAAGGATTCAAGTAATATTAATATATATATTTATTATTTTCATTATGTTTGTAAAACATTTGTAATGGGTAGCCTAAAGTAGAGCCCTGCACGGGCCTAAAAATTTGTATTTTTGCCGGCCCGCACGGCTCGCAAAATAAAATTTTACTATATTTTTTAAAAGTTCGGCCCCAATTTACTATGTGTTTGAGACACCAGGCCCGCAATTTTGAGAGGTTTTTGAAAATTTCAAATTTCGGCCCGGCCCGTGCAGGCCTCTAAAGGTTGTGATACATTTAATACGTAGTAAAAGTCATACCAGATACGTAAGAGGAAATTTGTTTGATTGGCTGATGTAGATCAATTGCCCGGGTAACTTATTTATCTGCTTTAGAGTACATTTTAAGAACTCAAGTTTTAACTAAAAAAAATGAAACATTTTGCATAAATCGTTTCTCCTGAGTTTCAAAAGACTGCCTTTAAAAATAATCTCTAATTTATGTAGTGTTAGTTTAGTAGTGACTTTTTTAAATGGGCTAAACTTTAAGGTAATTTTAAAGTACTTTTTGAAAAAAGAACATTTCGTTTAAGAACTTTAATATGATATATTTAAACTAAACTATGTTTAATTGAATAGGCACAAGTCTTTAGCATTAAAAAGATGCGGGTTTAATGATTAAATTTGGCCTGCTCTTTTAGTATAGTTTGGGATTATTAAACGTAAAATTTTTGGTTTGCATCATATATTGTAGATTCTTTAATGAGTTCGGGTTTATTAGTAATAAAAAAAATATTACCTTTACGTGTACCTATCTATTCTCTAAATATATATGATTAATATTTATTAGTTGGTAAATTTCTTTATAGTTTTTTTTTTTTGTATTTAACCGACCAACTTTTTAAAATTATGTAATTTGATTAAGTACCGGAATAGTTATAGACTGAAAAATGGATAACTAACTTCACAGAATAACACTAAAGCTACTACTTACTTAACCTAATAGTGATAAGGCATTGATCGAGGTTACGTAGAGCTCTAGATTACATCACCAACTTCTAATATGGGATTACGGGTTATTCAAGTAGACTTTTATTAATCGGGGATTAGTCGAAGCGCTTTTTAGTATAGCTCAGAATTATCTTTTATCCAAATCAAAATGGCTTAGTTTATATACTTTTGTTACATGCGAATGAGATAATAAAGATAACTGAAATAATGCATATATCGAATATAATATAGATATCGGAAATACTAAGAATCCAAACTATATATCTAATATTTTTAAATATCTCAAGGATCTTTGGGATTTTCAGAATTCTTGGGATTTTCAGAATACAGCCAACCCTCGCTATATTCACGCATTCGGGCCCAAAAATGCGATTATAGCAAGGGTGTGATTATAAAAAATTCTTCCAAAATGTGATTTTTTTAGTGATCGAAATAGTGTACAAGTATTATATCATTTGTCAACAGTTTAGATAAAAATTAAGAGCAAGAAAATTTTGGAATATCTGCAGTTAATTCTAATTTTAAGAATTTTTTAATTTAATCAAATTCGTAGATGGCCCACCTGGTTATGAATATAGATGCCGGTGAACTAAATAATGCTGGTGAACTAAATAATGCTGGTGAGACGGGTGACTATCTAAAATCTGATTGGTTATTATATTAAAATTCACCAGTTTCACCACCATTCACCAAGAGTTTTACCAGTTTCACCATCATCTATAATTATAGTTGATAGGTGAGTTGCAAATCGCAATAATTTTTATGAGGACAAGTTTAAGGTCTTTTCATATAAATTTCAATTTTTTTAATTAATTAATTAATTTATTTATTTATTTTATTTTGTTTTTTTTTTAATTTAATTTTTCTAAATTAATTTTGTTTTATTTTTTAATTTTTTTTTTAATTGATTTGGTTTTAGTTTTTTTTTAATTTGATTTTTTAAATTGATTTTGCTTAATATATTTTGATTTAATTTAATTTTTTTAAATTGATTTTGGTTTAATTTTTTTTTTTAAATTTAATTTTTTATAACTGATTTTGTTTATTTATTTTTAAGCCATGTTTTTTTAAATTACACAATTCAAACAAGCATTATTTAATCGGGAGAATTAGCAGATATACTTCGCAAGAACACCTCACTGACAACTCGAAATCATTGCTTGGATCAGACAATAGAAAAGTATTAGCGCGCTTACAAGAACAGGCCTGTATTATTTCACCGACCTTCACTTTAAACAATTTAATGTAAAAATTGGACGTGAGTACCTCGGGTATCTTTATAATTCAATTCTGTGTACCTGGGTACCTCTATATGGGGGTACACCCATAGAGACAATATGTTTTACTATATCTACCTGGGATGATACATATAGTATGTATAATACTTATGTATCCGGATATAAATCACCGTCTAGACTTTAAAATTGGTAAAGAGCACACGCCATGAGGAAACTCTTCCGATTTTTACGGTAGTTCGCAGACAAGCTCATTTCATAGATAATTCTAAGTATGACCTTAACGACAATGACTAGATTACTTCCCTATAAAAATTTTTTAAAATCATATTCAGACTTTACTCAGATTATTTTTTAAGAAATGGGCATTTTTCGTAACAAAAATCTATACAAACCTTTAAAATTTTCTGAATATTTTAAAGGTTTTGTAGAGATTTTTGTTACAAAAAATGCTCATCTCTCAAAAAAAAATAACCCGAGCAAATTCTGAATATAATTTAAAAATTTTTTTTATAGGACTTTGTAAGTAATAATAATAAGTTAGTGTAAATAAATGTGAAATGAGTTGTCGATGAAATAAACCGTCTGTGAAATGAACTTGTCTGTGAATTAATCGTCGATAAAATAATCTTGTTTGTAAATTAATTGTCTATGAACTACCCGATACATAAAAAATTTATTAAGTTACAAAGTTAAAAGAATTTCTATAAATTTGCATCCAAAAGTTAAACACTCACAAAAGCTTTACTATTAGGCCACACAAAGTTGATTTTCGGTTTGCATTACATGGCATTCAAAATTTCGGTTGGGCGGTCTGATTTTTTTTTTATTAATTTAAATTAATAGACTGAATTTCATATAGTCTTTTAATTTTTAAAGCTTTCTTGAAAATGCATTTTACTTGTTCAAGTACTATAGCCATGATTTCAGGTTCTTTAAAATCAGTTATATAATAAGGCACTTTAAAACTTTGTTGAGTTTAAACCTACTAGATACAAGAATGGCTTGATTAGTGATAGATTTACAAAACCTGCATTCTTTTCCAAAGTAATACAAATTCAATTTATCAAAAATCGGCCAAGAATATGGATACTAATATAAAAAATGAAAAATATATAAAATTTTAACCAATCAAATTCAATTTTATGAGTAAAATTTTTAGCACTATCATAAAAATTTGATGCAATTAGACTACGTATTCACACCATATATTAAATGCCAAATTTTAGATATATATATATAAATTTTATAATCGAATATTCATTTGGTGAAACTATTATCTGTTCGAATATTCGAATATTCAATGAAAATTCGAATATACTATTCATCGAGTTAGACCTCTATTCACCCTAACTACAAACTAATCCTTACCCTAATTTTAAATTTATATATAACGACCTCCCCAAATAAGAAAATACATCTTGTGTAATTTACCCAAATAGGAAAATACATTTATAGAAATTAAAAAATTCCCGTAATACTTTATTACTTTCTCTCACTTATTGCGCTCCAGTGATTAGAATAAATGATCCTTGTACTATTCAAATGGTGCTAAAATTATTCGATTCGGTTCACTGTATCACAAGAAATTGCCAAAAAACTTGGGTGCGCCAACATACTCGCCGCGCCAGGATACCAAACCCTCTCTTATAATTTACAAATAGAAAAGTTACTATTACCGGTAATACTCACCCGTCGACTAGGAAAACAATGTGATTTTGTGATCAAGAACCACGATAAATGTCCAAAATGAGGTAGAAATACAGTTACCCCTTAAATTGAGTTTGAACAACATAGCTAATTGAAGTACGTCAATGGAAAGATGGTCAGGTGCGTTATCAAATGTCCAAGAATATTTTCGAGGTTCAATATTGATCGACTAATGTGTAATATTGATTAATTCATGTGCAATATTGATTAATGTGTAATTTGGCAACATTTCACAAGTTCTTATTATGAGAAAGATCGTTATAAAGAACATGTTAAATTTAGATTTTAATTCTATATAGCCAAATATATATATTCCCAGTTACGCTCTATCAAAATCCTGCTTTAAACAGCCTGATGCTGGTTATGTCCCAAATATATAAATAAGATAATTGTTACACAAATCATAATTTTTTTATAGAGCTTATACGTAACGACAATACTTTTTACTAAACCGTCGTGGCCCATTTCGATTTGTGTAATGTGCAGGTGCATTAAACATACCTAACATTTTCACACCACACTTTTAAAATGGTATATTCTGCTTTATTAAATCAATTTCCATAACGATGATTTTACGTACTAACACAATACATGATTTTGTACAACTATAATGTCGATAACATTGAAGCAGGGACAATAATTCTGTGCTATGTAATTCTTCGTAATACGACAATTCGTTTGCACCACAGGACTCAAGAAATTTATAAACTTCGATTATGAAACTAATTTGAAAGTTCGATGGTTGAAAACGAATTCTTTATAGCGCTAATTATTATTAAGTATGTTAATTTGTGAAACATCGTTTGTGTTATTTATTATAGTTGTCATGCAGTCGATCTCTTCGATCATCGATCATTTCAATTACGTATGAATATAGTTTATTAAATCTTACGGCTTTATTACATATGCTAAAATGATTTTTGTATGTACTAGGGAACAAAGAGAAAAGTAAAGAGACCATTTTTAATTGGTGGTTGCCACACCCTCAATAGCTGATTTGGCAAATAAAACGTTGCTCTTAATATCAAAAATGATTTAAATCCGGTTACCGGTTAAGTCTTAATTTGATCATATCCCAATTCCAACGCCACTTTTATACTAGCTTACCTAAATCGATCGATCAATCAATCATGCAGATTTCTTTCTTATAAGAATAAATTTCTTTCTTATAAGAATAGGTTTCTTTCTTATAAGAATTCATTTTTCAATTGTTTTATTATAGACATTTAGTGTAAAATTGTAAATTTGATAATGTCTGAGGAATTTCCTCAAGAAAAGAATGTCCTAGAAAATGATGAATCCAGTAAAGTTACTGAAAGTTATACAAAGCTTGATGTGGGTGATTCAGAGAGTTATGATGTGCCATCTATTAAAGACTTGAGTACTTTACGTAAAGTTGCTGGTCGCATACCCACTGGTATGTTCCATAGTATTTTAATTTAAATAATTCATATTTAATTTTAATACGTTTATATAATTGTAGCTGCGTGGTTTATAATACTTTGTGAACTCTGTGAACGATTTACATATTATGGTGTTTCTGGTCCTTTTCAAAATTATATTCAATTTCCTCCACCTGTAGAAAAAAATGGTCAACCTGGTGCAATTGGTGCAGGTCAACAAACTGCAACTGCATTAACTTTGTTTTTCCAATTCTTTTGTTATATCACTCCTATATTCGGTGCAATTCTTGCTGATCAATATATTGGAAGATTCAATACTATTTTTATGTTTTGTTGTATTTACATGGTTGGTCTAGTTGTCTTGACTGTGACTGCAATTCCACAAGCAATTGCTGCAGGTGTTACTCTTCCTGGTCTAATTATTGCTATGGTTATTATAGGGTTGGGTACAGGTAAAATTGCTTTCTAGTATTCAATTTTTTCAATTTCTAATATTTAATTTGATAATTGATTATTACTAATTTTGTCATAATACTATTATATATATTTCTTTTAGGTGGAATCAAATGTAATGTTGCTCCTTTGGCCGGTGAACAAAATACACTCACAAAACCCTATGTCAAAGTATTAGCAAATGGTGATAAAGTCGTTGTGGACCCAGAATTGACCACTCAATCTATTTTTCATTGGTTCTATTTGGCAATAAACATCGGTGCTCTATCCCCAGTAATCACTACAAATGTCGAAAAATATCATTCTTATTGGTTGGCTTACCTAATTCCATTAATAATGTTTATTTTCGCAATTTTGGTGTTGATAATTGGAAAAAATCAATTGGTCAAAAAAACTCCAAATGGATCTGCTTTATTAAATTGTTTTCGAGTTCTTCGTGTAGCTTATTCTCATGATCGTTCTTTAGAAAATGCAAAACCTTCCAATATGTCTGATGATGCTAAAGCCAAAGAACGTGTAACTTGGGATGATGACTTTGTGGATCAAGTACGAATTGGAATGCAAACTGTTCGTGTTTGCATATTTTTCCCGGTTTATTGGGTTTGTTATTTACAGATTCATAATAATCTAATATCACAAGCTGCTACAATGCAAGTTGGTGGGGTATGTATTCCATCTTTAACTCGGTTTCTTAATAATTTATTGATATAAAATTACTTTATAATTTATTGATATAAAATTACCTTATAATTTATTCTATATATATCTTTTAAAGGTACCAAATGATATTATGAATAATTTGGATCCTATTGTTTTAATCATTTTCACCCCACTCGCAAATTACGTGCTGTAAGTACATAAAATAAATTATGATAACTATATATCCATCTTTTTTTACCAGTTTTAATTTTATTATAGTTATCCGTTACTTCGGAGATGTGGAATTGTTCTTCGACCCATAACAAAGATTTTTATAGGATTCATGTTAGCTAGCTTAGCAATGGTTTATGCGGCTGTACTTCAATATTTCATATATAATACCAGTCCGTGTTATAACCGGACTTTGTGTTTGATAAATGACATACCTACTCCAAATTATATTAACGTTTGGTGGCAAACGCCCGCATATGTTTTGATTGGTTTATCTGAAGGTAGATGCTTTTATTTTTTTCCCCTCAAATTTTAATGTTTATTCATACATTATTTAATTTTCTAACCGAAAATTTCAATAAAGTATTCGCTGTGATAACAGGTCTTAATTATGCATATTCAAAAGCACCTGAATCTTTAAAATCTTCCGTTACTGCGGTATTTCTAACCACAAGCGCGTTTGGATCGTTATTAGCGCTTGCATTTATACCATTATCAAGAGATCCTTATCTGGTTTATATGTATTTGATTATCAGTATGTTAGCTTTCGTTACTGGACTATTGTTATTATACTTTTTAAATAGGTATGACGATGCAGATGATATTAAAGCTCAAGAAAATGAGCAATGCAATACAATGTAGTAAATTTATCTAACAACATATGGTTGTTATGAAAGATGCTTAATTTGTTTTTTCTTTATGATTTTGAAAAATCAATTTCATAATTTGGCAGGATAGAGCTTTTTTATTACAATTTCAAAATTCATTTCACAATGTTAATACAATATAATGTAAATTTTTTGCATATTTCGAAATATTAAAAACTTTAAAGTGGCATAAAGACAGTACAGTATTCATCTTGAACTAAACAGGTTTGGTTATAATTTTTAATTGTTACTATCGTTATTTGATGTTTAGTCATGACCACTGAGATTTTAAATTTGTAAGACTACTGTCATAAGAAGTTTTGTTTAATTCATAAAATTGTATTTCAGAGTTTAATTTTCATCAAATAAAAATCTAGCATTACCAAACTTCTACTAGAGGATCAATACAATACTACCGTATGCAATATTTACGCGAAATAAAACCCCACGGGTTGCAATTTTCTTTTTTAGTTAAAGGTTTTAACACCAATCGACTTATTCTTATTTCAGTAACAAAGTTACAGAGATGCCTTTTACATACATATAGAAAACGAAAATTTTTCAACTTATTTATCTATATTTGTTGTTTGAATAATCTGGACGAAATTTAAAATTTTTTTAACTAAATATAAAATTTGGTTCTGAAACTTTTTTGTAGAGGCATTCTATTAATCTATACAAATTTGATCTTCTAATTGTTATCCGTAAAGGCCCTGCATCCAATATTGGAAAAAAATTCATAACAAATTTTTATATGATGCTATATATAGTTTTGATTTAATAAGTGACAGGCCACCCAACCGTACGTACGTACGTACGTACGTACATAAACTTTAAAATAAATATTTAAGAAAATTAATCAGCATATAACGATAATAAATACACCAAAATAACAATTTTAGCTGACCACATTCTATATAAAGTGAAGTATTTTGATTTCACCGCATTGTACAAATTTTTTCATATCGATATAAAAATAAAAAACTGAACTCTAACGCTAATAGAAATTTAATTTAAAAAGTGAATACACATAGTATATTGTAATAAGCAAGCATAAAGATATCTACTCTTAGAAATCGAAATTTACACTTTCTGGTAAATATTAAAAGTATAGAAATAAGAAACTTTCACTACAAAATTAATTAGTAGCTCAAGCAAAAAAAAATTATCATTAATTTTATATTAAATTTGAAAATAGTTAACATAACTTTTCGCGATTCATGAAGTTACCAACTGCATGGAATCTCAATGATAAATCTACTTTCTTGAGCGTAGATTCGAGCGGACTTAGAGTGAATTATGAAGGTGGGAATTAGTGATGGCAAATTGGGATTTTTTCAGATTTCAGGCTGGCTAGCTCGCATTATCAAGAAAATTTTACTTATAATCATGCGCATTTGTCCATCGCTAGCGTGGCTATTTATATATATTAACATGACAAATGAAATTATTTACATTTGAATTTTTTTTCTTTGTATACATAGGTTTGGGTGAAAGCAAAGAAGAAATCGGTACAATACGAGCAAATCATCCAATTCCTCCACAATGCAAGTTGTTTTATTTTGAAGTCGACATAATAAATGAAGGAAAAACTAAGTGTGTTGAAATATATTTTGCCATAAATTAAAATGAATTCGATTAAATTTTTTGCTTATAATCCTTCATATTCTATTTAAAAGAATTATTGGAATTGGATTTTGTGAAAAGACAGTTGATTTAAACAAATTGCCTGGTAATTAAAAATCTATTTTTGCATATTGAACATTTTCACTCATAATGCTTTTTATAGGCTGGAAAAATGGTTCTTGGGGTTATCATGGAGATGATGGCAATGTTTTTTGTTGTTTGGGAAATGGTCATTCTTATGGGCCGCCATTTTCTACCGGCGATACCATTGGATGTTGTTTAAATTTTAAAAATAACACTGTATTATATACTAAAAATGGCATAAATCTAGGTAATTATTGTAGTACTTTATAAGTTTTGTCGTTATATATAATGAATACAACAGATTTTGGTATTTTATAACATAAATTTTAAGGCATTGCATTCCGAGATGTAAAAGGCATTTTGTATCCTTGTGTTGGATTGAGGTCACAAGGTGGATCAATAGAAGTAAATTTCGGTAGTAAAATATTTAAGTATGCAGGTAATGTTGAATAGTTATAAGTGTGTGTTTTGTTTGATTTGTAATAAAAAATACTGTAATTCTTTATAAATAGAGACTACAAGATATGATATAGATGATGAATTATTGAAAAAAAAGTGGATCGATGCATTTAATGCGTGCATTGTGACGAAAATATATACACTTGAAGATTTAGAAACTTCGCTGAAAATCAAACAAGATACTGCTCTTAAATTTCGAGGAAAATTTAATTTTATCATAGGAAGTTATGAAGATGCGATTATTGATCTAACAAAATTGCTTGATATTGAACCAAACAACAAATTTGGACTAAGATATCGAGGAGAAGCCTATTATCTAATAGGAAAATATAAAGAATCATACAATGAGGTGAAAAAATTACTAAAAATTGAAACAAATAATGAATGGGCATCAAAACTTTTTGCAAAAATTAGTGAATAGTAAATATAAAGTTATCTTGCTTTCAATAATATTCGCAATTTTTAATTAATTATATGCACATTAAAATAATAGGGAGTGAGCATAGCATTTAATGTTTTTTTAATTGCGCTTGTGACGACATAAACTAAATTGACTTTGATCAATATCTTTTTTTTTAATTTTTTGTAAGTGTGCATATGTTTATTTTAAAATTATGTATTTTATTAAGTTATCTTCTAATCAGCTATATATATCAAACAACCAGATCGTGAGTATAAATCTTTAGCAAGCATCCATAAATATTCATTTTATAAGTACTTGTTCTAATTTCTTGTAACTGTTAAATTACTAGTTTATAACTATAAAGTCCATTTATTGACGAAACATATGAATTAGGATACTTTTATCTTCATGGAATTAAAGTTGAAAAGGATGAATATAAAGCGTTTACTAATTTTAAAAAATCTTCTAAT